CGTACGCGCTCAACCGCTCACAGACACACACAAATATCATCTCCACTTCTTTCTCTAAATAATTCCAACCTCCTCCTAACTGCTTCACCCTATCCCTCTTTACCATCATCTCTTCTTCCTCCACATGCACGCACATCGCACTCCACACCTACAACACAAAGCACTTCCCTCAACAAAAAAATTATGTGTCCAAAGAAACATAAAACATTTACCAACAAGAATTAGCATGTTCAACACATCTGGAGTCAGGATATTGGTGCACAGCAGCGCATGTTCATCCAGTATCAAAAAAATACTTTCAGATAAACTACTATTTACCCGAAAAACTATACATGAGATGGAGTTTGTTACCCCTTGACGAAAGATAATAATTATACTAAAGGTTATTTCAAATATGAATCATTGTTGAAAAACATCTGTTACGTACCTCGTTATTTTGCATTATGTAACATAAGTACATAACAAACCTTAAATGTTATGTGACATTTTAAAATAAGTAAAACACGTCATAAATCTACATTATTAAAATAAAGAATACATTGATTCAGTATATTGTATTGTACAATCGAGGGATTAAGGGTTTTCGATTTCCTTTAAATATAACATGCGTTATTTCATTATTACTTGCTTATTTCAATATAACTTTATCATAGAGACTTCAATGTATTTTCTTTGTTTAAATCTTGAAACAAATAAGTCTGCAGTGTATGTCTGAATTGTTTGTTAAGCTTTGATGACTTCTTTTGGTGCCATCATTACTGTCGTGATGATATATTTGATAATTATGATGATTATATTTATATAAATCACTGAGGAATATTTTGTATTTATTGCATATTTAAATATTTAAATAAGTGATACATATGTAACCTACTAATACTACATGCGTTATGTTGTCTTGCATTTTACATTAGCAAAAGATAAGTATTACGTTATGTGTTACGTTATTTTCAACATTGATATGAATAGCAACAATAACATATTTATATGAGCCAAATTTACAAGTCACATATACAAACCATTTCTCATATACTTCATGCTTCTTGCTTCCTACCTCATCTCTTTCTTGAATCTTGTCCTCAAATACGTAGATCAGCCTATAGACACATCCAATCTAAAAAGTTGATCAGATTAGCTATTACTTAACTTCAAGAAGTTGTGAATTGAATTTTTCTTCTTCGAAAATTAAATTGGTAAAATTAAAAACAAAAGGTTTCTTGTCCAGGACCCATCAAAAGCATATTTCCAAATTTATAGGTATTGACTATCTTTGATTGGGAGAAAGTCTGCACATACTGGCATACATACAACTACAAAGTGCAAGATATATTAGTTTTAGAGAGATATCTTCATCTAATCACAAAAAGTAACAGGGATGGAGGAGGCTATGTAGCATATTCCATTAGCACCTATATTGACTTAGTGCTACACAATAGATTTCTGATGAAACTGTAATGGATTCTCGTAGATTTTTAACAAGTTAGAGGGTACCGTTCTACCAAGTAAGTAATCACTTGAGAAAACTTGGGAAGCCGGTCACTTAGATCATTATGTTTCACTTCTTTATTATAACCAATGTGTCCCTCGCATCAGTTTGCAGAAGATTTGGTTCCGTTCATTAGGACGTCCTTGCACTGTACAATGCACTGTCCCTCTGGAGTACTTCTCTCTAATAGCTTTTGCTCAAGTATTTTACAAGCTGCTTAATTTTACAATATCTTGGATGATTAGTAACCAACTTATTTCATAAAAATGTATAATCAGGGACTTTATAACAATTTGAGAATTGCCTTATTCTGTGTGAACATCAGCGAAGTTTGTAAGAACCTTCAAATGTTACAATCGACAATCTCATCTTTATTAATTTCTCTAAGATGAATGAATGAAAATCACTAAGGAATAGGACGTGAAATAAGTACATGCTTAAAGAAGTTATAGTTTGGCCCAATAGAGGATAAAAATGAAGGAGAAAGATTAAAATGGATTGGGCATATAAAACCGAGGATAATAAGTTGGGAAGTGAATGGAACATAGTAGAACAATGAATATCAAATATAGCTCCTAGAGAACTTGGATGAAACTTGAAAGAAAGTATAAGGATATATAGTGGTTGACTTAATTGAGGAGATGGCTCTTAACTAGGGGTAGAAATGAACTAAATAATTAACAAACAGTTCAGGTATTATTCGTCCGGATATTCGATTATATTTGATTAAGTAGTTCACCCAACCGTAAACGAATGATTTTTAGTATTCGGTTTATATAGTGTAAACAAAGAGAATTTAACCAACAATGTATTTGATTCAACCATACTAATGAGATTGGGATGAAAAACTGAAAGCAGGTGCACATGGATATTAATCAGATAGGAACATATAAATTTTCATGAGCTAGAGAGAGATTGCATTGGCCCAAAATTTTCCCATGCTTAATTTCCCTTAAAACACCTTATAGTTTACCAAAAATTGCACTTGTATACACTCACTTGTATTTTGCTGCACTTGTATACTCCAATGTTTTTTTAATGTTGCACATGTACCTTCTATTACTAAAACGTGATACTCTCTAGACTATTCCCATGTGAATTGTCATGTGTCATATTTAGGACAATTCAAGCCTTAATTTTATCTAAAATAACAATGACCATTTTCTCTCTCATCTCAACCCATGGATCTATCTTCTTCCCTTTTCTCCCAATCAAGCAACTTTGTGAAGTTAGCCACCATAAAGTTTATCAGGTCACTGACTTTAGTGTTGAAAAGAATGACACTCGGGTTTGTTATTGGCCACCCAAAATTATCTCATTTCAAAAGATAATTTAAAAAAAAACAAATTGGTTCAAGATAACTCAAACCCATTAACCAAAATACACCAAAACTACACAAATGCATAAATAAATCCATTGATCAGAAATTGAGATGCAGAGATTGTGAAGAATTGGGAACCTAGGGCAGATTTTAACAATGGTTTTTTCTCACTGAAGGCTATTTTAGTCTCAATAGACTTTTTCAAACAACATTTATCAAATTTAACGAAATGAAATAAAACAATATGGTATTTAAGAACAAACAAATACAAGTGAGAGTATATGAGTACGAACTTTGGTAAACTGTAAGGTATTTAAGTGCAATGTAGCCTTTTCTCCAAGCTTTTGTTATACACCCAACCCGCACAAATACTACCATATGCCCTTTTTTTCCCCTCTTGACATCAGTCTCCTGGTTTCTCTTTACTTGAAGTCTCGGACCCACATCTCTTTGTTTACATCATCTTTTTCAGATGTTTGTAAAAGCCATTGTAAGTTTTTGGCGTCAATGAAAGATGAGATTTGGAGGATTGGAGGAATAGATCTGAGGTTAAGGATTTTAAACAAAAAATTACTAATAGTTACCAAGTACCTACAATACGAAAAGAATCAAATTCAGATAAATATAGGCATTCGAAAAATGAAAGCGAACGGTGTTCAAATTCAAATCTCCTTCTATTCGATTTGATTCAATTCCACCCCCTCTTATCAGAATTGATGTGTAGAATCGACCCAAAATTTTGGAATGAAGATTTTATTGCTGTTATTGTTGTTAAATTATGAAGTAACAATCAGCAGTATCAGTGAATAAGACCTTATTATTCTTTCCCTTGTGTTTATTCTACTTTCAGTTAGTTTCAGATCAACACCTTAATAACCAATGGCTCATATCCATCATAAAGCCAAGGCAACAGTTCTCGATCCCCAGTATCTTTGACTTCTTTGATTCTTGTTTCTCATTAAGCACTTTTCAAGATTCATTGTATTTATATTTTATAGTGATAATTGAACTTTTCCTTGCTGATTTATATTGTTAAACTCTACTGTGTTGTATAAATTGTTATGAGGGCATTTTTTGACTGCTTACACTTAAGCTAAGCTACCACAAGCATAATGTTACAAAGGCTTTTACAGTATAAATAATCTTACAATGTATGGCAATATTGTTAAAACCACTTCACTAATTTGTATTGTTAAACTCAACTGTCCTGTCTACAATATTATGAATGCATTGTTTGACCGTTTATGTGTAAGCTACTAAGCTACCACTAGCCCATGATATCTCAATGAATTTTAAAAAAAACACAAATTTGCCTTTTACAAATGCTTTTACAATATCCATAACATCATACTAAAATTCAATCCCTATGTTTTATGACAAATGAAACGTTATCAAGAAAAAAAGGTGGACATAACCTGGTATAAACCCATTACCAAGAACTGCAGCCAAGTCTCGCGCTCCTCAATCAAAAAAGGTGGACATAACCTGGTATAAACCCATTACCAAGAACTGCAGCCAAGTCTCGCGCTCCTCAATCCAAGCTGATAAAAATAACTTATCTACTGTCTGACCCCGTTGAAACTGAGTGAATTCAAACAATACTACTCCTTAAAACTCCTTAAAACAAGCAACTAAATCTTCATAAACCCTAATAATCCAAAACCCTAAACCCCCAATTCAGTTCCAATGCACCCATTGAAAATTCCCCGTTTCTGGTTAGAGTATTACACCAACTCATCCTCTTCCATCCGGGAAAAAAAACCTCAAATTAATAGGCAAAGAACAAAACCCTAGAAAATCAAATTAAGGGGAGGGGGAAAAGAGAACGAACCATGTGAGGATACTTGTCCTGATCGACGACCCTAGTGTTTTCGAGCTTGATGTTGAGGTACTGATCGACGGAGTGAAGGATCCCTCTGATTGCTAGATCGTTCTTGAGCTCCACTGTCACTTCTTTGCCCACCAACTCCTTGAAGTACGAGAAGAACAGCTGCAGTATGAACAATAAACTTTAGAACTTTGAGAAGTTGATGGAGGTTTGGGGTCGATGAAAGAAACCCTAATTTGATGAAAAAGAGGAAAAGAGAATAAGAAAGGTACCATATTTTCGATTTGATTTGGGATCGAGAGAGAGATCGAGGGCCAAGACGCGAGTAGAACTGTAGAAGGCGAGGAGCGCTCAGACTTCGGAGTTTCAAGCAGTAATATATGCCTTTACTTGAGGTCGGGTCGGGTCGGGTCGGGTCGGGTAGTAAGCACTTCTGGATTTGACTCCTTAGCGTTCAGGTCGCCAATTTTTTTGACTCCAGGGTTCGACGTAATTTTTTTTATTCAAGAAAATTTTTATTTAATCTTGATGCTAAATAACTTTCATGTTCTCTGCTTTAAATGGGATACATTGGGTTTTTCTTCACGCAAAGAAAAAACAAAACAAAACAAAACATTTTTATAATGCCCCAGTGGAATTCAAATTTTCAGCTGTCTATCCTTATGGATCCCTTTCATGGATAACTCAAAGCCAAATAAGTAAATAAATAGAACATCTTTAAAATATTTCATATATGCTCTGTCATTTTCGTATCCAATAATAAAATGCTAGTTCATGTACAATTTTTTTTTTTTTTTGGTTGAAGATTGTACATCATATCTACTCTTAAAACAATGGCGGATTTAGAAAATTTTCTTAGCAAAACCAGTGTCTATTTATCTAAAATATGTATAATATTATAAAAATATAGTTCCGATGAAAATGCATATTGACATACTATACTGTTGGAATTTTTAAATGAACTTCTGATTTCCAATGGGCTAATTCAAAATTGGTATTAATGTCCTTAGTATTTTTAGATAGCTTGGGTGTTTGGGTGGAATTTAGAAAAAAAATCATCTAGATACAAATCTAAATGTTTTTAAGGGGCACAACACAACTGCACCCTTAGAGTACGCATAGATTAGATATGCCTTATCTTAGGGGCTGTTTGTTTCACCCTTTTATAGAATAGGATTAGCATTTGGGCTCTGACAGTGGCATTTTCGTAATTTTTGGATTCTTTGTGAATCCTATTCTGGAGTTTGGCTCAGCAAAAATTTTGGGATTCCAATTCTCTTAAAGTAGCTACAGTTATCCTTTTTTATAGAAACCCAATTCCGAGCTTTGGGTTCGGATTTGGACGAGATTTCTGACAGTGAGCTATGTCGTCGATTCCGATTCCTCATCTTCACGATTTCGATCCCTAAAATCTGGAATCGCTGTTCCGCTCCCGCCTCATCGCCCTCTTCTTCGCGCCTCTGTTCCCGCGCTTCGTCTTCTTCAACCTGGGTTCGGGCCTCTTTCTCGAAACCCTAGCTGCTGGTTTCCACGAGCTTGTTGGTGGGTTTCTTGCCTTCGATTCTTGGTAATCCCTTCTGGTTGGGGTCTTCTTCAACTTGGGTTCGGGCCTCTTTCTCGATCTTGTTCTGGTTGGAGTGTGGCTACGGTGTTTTCTTTGACGTCGGTGGGTTTTTTGCTTGAACGTCGGCATTTCCCTCCTCTGCAGTAAGGTATAAAAATTTTCCTCTCTTACTTTGGCTTATTTCTCCAGTGATTTGAGGAATTAATTTTAATTTTGAAGCATATGAGAAATAGAGGCTGATAGCAATTTCAATGATTTAAGCGATTAATTTCATAATATTACAGCAAAACAATTCATGCGGGTATCTGTGTAGTGGATTTTTTGTAAATGTGCAAGAATTAGGTTGTTAGGTAGATTAATTTCATGCGGGTATCTGTGTAGAGATTAATTTCATAATATGTTTCAAATCAGTCTTTTAATAACTTTAATTGCTGTTTTTTTTCCTTTATCTAATTTTTTTGTGTGCGTGTAAATTATTAGTAATCTAAGCATATAGTTTGTTTGTTTTTGGTCTATCTTGCTTGTTTAGAATTGTGTGAGATGGAATGCAACATTAGTTAAAACAATTTTCATTTCAGCTTGGTTTCTTGCTTTAAAAGAAATAAATATTTGTATCAATTATCTACTTAATTTTGACAAGAAATAAGTAGCCATCTTAAGCTGTAATTGTATGATAATTTTAAAACGGTTGTAGATGGATATGGAAGATGAGGAAGAATTGAAGAGGATGTGTGCTAATACAGCTGTCTGCGCCGTGGTCACTTTGGTAACATGTATTTTGAGAATGCGTGCTAAGCGCAAGAGAATACCAAATTGTTCGAAGCAAGAAAGTGTCAGGAAAATAAGTTGTAGAGAGGCTCATTTCAGACGTGTACTGGAGGGCTATCAAGATAGCTGCCAATCTTATATTAGAATGAGACCGAGGGCCTTTTTTAAACTTGTTGAAGTAATGAAAGCAAACGGTTTATTAAAAGATACGAGACACGTTCAAGTTGAAGAACAGCTTGCTATGTTCCTAAGTATTATTGGGCACAAAACTAAAAATAGAATAATAAGAACTGAGTTCATAAGATCAGGGGAAACAGTTAGTAGGTATTTCAATAAAGTCTTGCAATCAATGAATGGATTACGTGATCGGTACATGAAGCAAGCCCCAAAAGAAGTTCCCGATGAGATTGCAAACAACTCAAATTATTTTCCGTACTTTAAGGTAAATTAAATACATACAACGTAATAATTTTCCAAATAAACTTTTTTTTAATTTAACAATGTATAATTTATAATTTTTTATAGGACTGTATTGGTTTGATAGATGGCACACACGTCGACGCGGTGTTACCTAGTGACCTAGTTGCACGGTTTAGAGGGCGAAAAGGGGTCACCCAAAACATCTTAGCAGCATGCACCCCCAATAAACTATTTACTTATATCTTGGCTAGCTGGGAGGGGGCAGCAAATGATTATAGGGTATTACAAGACGTCCTGTCCAGGCCACAGCCTTACGGGCTCCGAGTTTACGATGGTATTCATTCTCACTTGTGCACATTATGAATAATATATTAAATACTTAGCAATATTTGAGATTTTAAAATACTGTTTAATTAATGTAGGTAAATATTACATATGTGACGCTGGATACACCATAATGCCAGGTTTCATATCCCCGTATCGCGGTGTCCGATATCATTTAAAAGAGCACACTGGTAGGACACCAAAGAATAGGAAGGAGTTGTTCAATTTAAGGCATTCATCTTTAAGATCAAAAATTGAGTGCACATTTGGGATACTGAAGAATCAGTTTAAAATTCTTGCGGGGAAGCCGAATTATCCATTTCCCACTCAAGTGGACATTGTACTAGCGTGTACTGTGTTGCACAACTTTATTGCCTTGGAGGATCCGGATGATGATATTTTAAATGAAAATGTTGAAATTGATGAAGATACTGGGGAAGAGACAAATGAGGACGATTCAAATGTGATGAACCATTACTACTTTTATCACTTGCTATTTTGTTATGTTGTTTGAACTAGAAATTACATCGTTTACTATATTCCCTGCTAAATGCATACATATCCCATATTCTATAAATTTCTTTATTGTTAATATGGCTATGCTTACAAAATATATTAGGTATGGCTAACAATCCGGCAGATAAGCAAAGCGTGCCTTCTCATTCGAATGCAATGCCAAGTCCTACATCAGGGATTAACATGAACTACATGCCTGTTCAACCACAGCCATTCACCTCACCTCCGCATACTTTCTCACCATTCCCACCATGGGATGGTAATTATGGTGGGATGACACAGCCGCCAATGTCATACATGAGCTTGTTAGGCAATCCACAAGGTTTGACCTTTCCCACGGCCAGTTCTCAAAGTAGTGGACCTAATCAATTTTCACCGAACACCGGTGATTCAGTTGGAAAGGATATTCATGATGTTGATGGTGCGGAGCACACTTCGCCATTGAAAAGAGGAAAAAGATTAGCCCACAAAAAAAAAAGTTCCGTGTACCAGGTTGAACTCAAGAGGCGTGGCTAATAAGTTTTGGCTTCCAGAGCACGATGATGTGCTTATTCCTTATCTTGCAGATTTAGCATTGGATGGCATGAAGCCAGACAAGAACTTCAAGGCTGAAGCTTATAAAATGGCTGCTATGAAAATCAACATGCAATTCAGGACTGATTTCACTCACCTGCATGTCATTAACCACTTGAAATGTTTGAGGAACAAATTCAATGACATGAAAGCTTGCCTTGATATAAGTGGTGCTGGGTGGGATGAAACAAGTAAAATGATTACATTGGATGAGGAAACCGGGTGGGATGAAACAAGTAAAATGATTACATTGGATGAGGAAACCTTGAAATCTTGGGCCCAGGTATAACTTTATTCAACATCTATCTTGTCACATTCAATTTAATACATTCCCTTCTCTGGATTTATAAGTATTTATTATTGCAGGACAAATCCAATTCTAAGTACAAAGCGTACATAAACAAACCCCTTCCTCACTTCAAAAATTTACAAGTTATCATGGGTGATGATCAAGCCAAGGGTGATTTTGTTAGACCCGTGTACGCTAACATTGGGTCTAGTAGGTCCATACCTATTCCCGATGATGATTGCGAGATTCTAGAGGAGAGTGAAGCTGAACCACAGTCTGATGCTTGCAACGCACCACGTTCTGGTGCTGTTAACCAACCACAACCCACTAGATATAAGACTAAGAGTAAAGACAACACGACTTCATCATCTAGCAAAAAAACCAGAAAATTTAATCGTGAAGAGGAAATGATGTGTGCCTTTGTTGAGTCCATGTCTCAGTCAATGAGGAATCAACACGTTATACACTGGACTGAGCAGTTGGCCACAGCGTTGAATGAACATAGGTCTGAATATTCCGAGGAGTTCCTCGATAGGGTTTTAGACCATTTATATGACAATGAACGTGAAGCTAGGAGGTTTTTCATTAAATCTAAGGAAGGTCAACAGAGGTACATCACAAAATTAGTTAACGACCAAGGTTGGCCGGATAGCTAGTTTGTTGGGTTTCGATTATATTACGTTCTGGATATTGTTGTGTTTATTACAAACTATTAATGTTGCAATTTGTATTTTCATTCTGAAGAACATCTATGTCGTTGTGGGATTGATGAATTGGTATATTTGCAATCTTTCTTGCAGGTAAGGTCGTGGAATGATCACTGATTTCTTTGAATTTTCCGATTATATTTTGATATCAGGTAAGCTTTCTGCTGCTGGTTGCTTTGTGCAGCATTTGCTGCTGCTGCTGGTTGCTTTGTGCAGCATTTGCTGCTGCTGGTTGCTGGTTTGTGCCTGTTTTGAGCTTTCTGCAGCAGTTGCTGCTGCTAGTTGCTTAGTGCAGCATTTTGTTGCTGCTGCTGGTTGCTTTGTGCAGCATTTGCTGCTGCTGGTTTGTGCCTGTTTTGAGCTTTCTGCAGCAGTTGCTGCTGCTTGTTGCTTTGTGCAGCATTTGCTGCTGCTGGTGGTTGCTTTGTGCAGCATTTGCTGCTGGTGGTGGTTGCTTTGTGCCTGTTTTGAGCTTTCTGCAGCAGTTGCTGCTGCTGGTTGCTTTGTACAGTATTTGCTGCTGCTGCTGGTTGCTTTGTGCAGCATTTGCTGCTGCTGCTGGTTGCTTTGTGCCTGTTTTGAGCTTTCTGCAGCTCATGCTGCTGCTGCTGGTTGGTTTGTTGCTGGTTTGTTGCTTTGTGCAGCATTTGTTGCTGCTGTTGGTGGTTGGTGTGTGCTTGTTTTGAGCTTTCTGCAGCTCATGCTGGTTGCTGTTTCTTCCTGGTTTGTGCCTGTTTTGATCTTTCTGCAGCTCATGCTCTTGCCTTTGTTTGTGCAGCATTTGCTGCTGCTGCTGGTTGGTTTGTGCCTGTTTTGAGCTTTGTGCAACTCATGCTGCTGCTGCTGGTTGGTTTGCCTTGCCTGTGGTTTTTCTTGCACTTGATATGTGGCAATGATGATGATCAACGTTTACTGAGAATGCAACCTAACTTACATCGTTTATTATATCCAGATGAGGTAATATTTGAGATGAGATTGCAGCCTACATTGAATTGGCAATGTCTAGGCGAGGCAATTCATCTTTATAATGCAATCTGTAATAAACATGTTTAAGTTATAGGTGGGGCAATCAATGATGACAAGTTGATCTATTACTGAGCCATACAATATCAATAAGAATTTGTACCCAGTTCAAACAACAGTTTTCATTACATCCTCAGTAGTTCTTGCAAGTACAGTTACATGACATGAAGTTTGTAATAATTAAAATAACACAAAAAAATTGCTAAGAAAATTGCAGAAATTTTCCAAATTAGTAGTTGATTTTCGACAAGTCTCAATTCTTTCTTCAGCTTCTTTGATTGCAAAATATATTTTTCTCCGTACCTATTTTCTTTGACATATTGGCTTCCTTGGTTGCTTGATGACTCTCCTCTTTCTTCAGCCCATTCGAAAAAATTGCATTCTTTATTTGGGAATTTTGCACACCCCCAATAACACCTACCCTTATTTTTACCATTCTTGCACACTTTCATCGGTGTTCGGAGATGGCAGTCGCAATAAACTTCATAATCCTGCCAGCACTCTTCTGATATCATTTTCATGTGGGGACAGCAAACTGAAGACAATGGGAATTTTATAAATGCTGAAAATGGCTATGTTTGGATTAATTGTGAGGCCTCAAGGTGAATTTATAGCCACCAAGTTCCACTTCTAGCCGTTGCTACAGTGTTCTGACTAATACATTTGAAATCTGAATTTTTTGAGGCTTCAAAGAGCCGTTGCTACAGTGTTTCCAGCACAAAATATGAAATTATTGCCTCTTCTAGCCGTTGCTACAGGAATATTTAAATTGATAAAGAGGTTGCTGTTGCTACAGTGTTTATTCCCAAAAAAAGAGACTTTTTGAAGCAAACATAGTATTAGGAATTGGACAAATTCTATAAATGTTGGATTCCTAATCCTTTGGGTGAAACAAACATAGAATGCCAAAAAAATAGGATTCCATAAAACTTCAACTTGTCTATAAAAATTTTATGGATTAGGTTGGAATCCATAAATAAAATAGGATTCCTAATCCTATTCCTACACTCTATTGAACCAAACAGGCCCTTAAAGTATGTGTATCTGATAACACCATTTTTATATATAAAAAGAAAATGATAATTTACTATTAGCCTTACATCTTAAAAAGAATTATAGAAATGATAAATTAGTGGTTACATGTAAAGTTCTTTATATCTTATCTAACATGGTCACACGACATTTTCTATATTTTTGTAATATTATAAAAAAAAGGAGAAATATTAGAAACGAGTGATAAATGGTTAAGCCATCTACTTTAAATTTACAAATTTGAAATACTATCCACATGCTTATTCAGTAAGCCAACTTTTTTTTAACTTCTTTTTTTTAAAAAGAATATTATAAAAAGATGGATATTATGAAGAAGGGATTAACTGTGCAGCAATCTGATTTTAAATTTCAACTTCTAAAATAAGAGACATCTGCACCCTTACTTCGAATTTCAAGCTATTTGCGAGAAGAGAAAAACTATTGCTCAAGTTATCTAATTCTGAAAGAATTCAAATAGTCTACTTTTCATCTCATGTATACTGTATTATGTTAAGACCACTATGAAGAAATTTTTATCACATCATTTCTTTAGAGCATATGTTATAAGTCGTTGGTATACGCTATTTGTATGCTCGCAATCACACAGAAAGGAGTATATCAAAAAAGAAAAAGACAGGCCTACAGCCACAAGAATAAAATCCAATGCAATTCAGCGAAGAAGATAATCGAGCACCATCCAAGAAGGAACCATTGACCAAATAAATCAAACTCGAGCGTATCAGTACAGTAGTAGTACTTGAAGTGTAACAATAACTATCATCCTTCGAGGGATTACACAAACAAAGTTGAAAAAAAAATGGCAAACAGATTTGACTTGAATGTTTATGACGCCAATAATTCTTCAATGTTCAAAACACAATCAACACCAAGCAAGCTTCCACTGTGGCATTTTTTTTAGAGCAACCTCCGACCGCAAAGTGCGAAGTACCGTTACCAAGTAGGCACTCCAGGAGTACTTGACATCTGCAGCTACATCTTCGTACAATTTTCGTTACACTTGTTATGTGCTGATTTTCACAGGTTTGTCCTTTTACACGAGAACAAGCACACAATTCCTGAACCACCCACAACCCCACATGCAACTACAAAGGTCTAAGTACACACACTATGAGATAGCTTACAACATGTCATACATAGCAGGTATATAGAAGAAATTTGGAAACCCCATAATAGCTAGTTGATTTACAGAATAAAATGAAAAGGAGAAGGTAAGAAACAAGTATTTCTTCCACTCTATGTTATTCGAGGCTTCACTCGTCTCCCGTTAACATCGCTGCCATCAAGTGGCGCTTCAACCACATGTACCCCTGCTTTGACTGAATGTTCTCCCATTTTTGCCACATGTTCCAAGAGCTCTGACAATATGGATGGGCAGCTGACCTTCAAATGCTCAAATCCTTCAGTTTGCATCACAGCTGTGAAACAAGTGACCAAAATGATGATCAGAATCACAATGGCCTACAGTTCTAATGGTTTGAATAATCTCGAGTCAACAACCTCTGGATGCATCACATAAGAACGTAAAAAATGACATGCATGCACTCACCCACCCACACACTCGCACACACAGATAGCAACAAAGGGGGATACTAAGGGATGATGTAACAAATAGCATCAAGCATGAAGATATTTCACTAAGAGGCCCTGACATCAAAAGTCAGATATATGCAAATTACAAGAAGATCAGGACTAACAGGTATATGATATGTGACACGAAGGATGATGGTCCAACTATAAATTGGAATAAGGTGCTTTTACTTTTGAAAACAGATATTGTGATGTGACGATTTTATAAACAATAAAGGAAAACATTTATATGGGAATAATACACTAGTAATTCGACCCGCCAACTAACAGGTTCAGCTTGCCTGCGAGTTTATTTACTACATTGTAATCAAATCCTGGAAACTATTTCCCTGGAGTACATTACTTGTGTAATGCAAGAATAAAATGCATGTTACAATTTATTAATTAGAATTTTAAGCAAATGTGGAGTAGAAGACAAGATAAGTTACCTTTAAGATTTTCAGGCAAAGCAATAAATCTGAGACAAACAGACTTAAGCTGAAAACAATGATGCTGCTCGGCCAAAGCTAAAGTAGTTGCTGCTGTGTTAATTGATACATCCTGGCAGAGCTTATCTTCGCAGAGTAGTTTAAGCCTCTCCAATGCATATCTGTCTGCACCTGCGAGCAAGTGTTGAGCCATTAACGTCGAAGCCACACCAGCAAGATCATCCATATCAGGCAGACAGTCCCAGTAAATGAAGTGAAGTAAAGCCTGCAAAAAGGTGAGTAGATTAAGTTTTGACTCTGGTTAGTTTCAACTTTCACACGACAGAATGAAATTAAACCAAGCTCACAACAAGGTCGTGCAGCCATAGCCGTAGATTGTAACTGCAGTTACAAGAACAATTATATCTTGGATTAGTTGCAGAACCGATAAATACAGTTGCAGTTGTAGTTGCAAAAAGACCCTTCCAGTTGCAAATAAGAAATTACTCAAATTTGGACATAAGTCACTGTTGCACATGGAGTTTAAAGTTGTAATTCCCAGTGTAACTAACCCTGAATATTAGTCCAACAATTCTGATACCCCAATTAAAACAAGTTTCAATACAGGCACGTGCAACTTGCAAAGTTATAAAACTAATCCTAGCAACTGCATCTACAGCAGCATGCGACAGTAATTGCAACTGCAGTTGCATGCCACTGACATATGTGTTGAAATTACAATTGCAGCAAACCAAACAACTACTAAAGAAAAAGTATAATCTACAGAAAAATTCAACTATTTTTTCACCTTGAAATAACTGAAGCACAATAGCCCAGGCCCCAAGATTTTATAAAGATCAGAAAATTTTCATTTCTGTAATAGAATCAGGAATGACATCTATTTGCAGACAAAGAACAAAGAGCTCAAAATCAAAGTCAACAGCGAAACCAGCAAACCGCTGCTGCCTGGATGAAAGGAGCCATCCAGTTCGTCCTGATTTCCTCCTTTATGAAGTCTCAGAAAAAGCCTTTTACTTGGAAACAAATTCATTATGGTAGGTTTAGATGTGGGCAATAATACAGTACCCACTTATCATATTTTAACAGCATATAATAGTAGTACATCAAACTCCTTTAGTACGATTTCTCTAACAGTAGTAGCCATCACAGTGTACAATTTCTCTACAGTAAGTGGTAGTAGTAGTATCAGTGTACAGTTCTGGAAGTAACCAACACAAAACAATACACTCCCGGAAATAATTCTGAAGCACAATTAACCTGCATTTGAAAAGAGAACTGGAAGAACAGGTTAAGTAGCAAGTTAATTACATCCAAGTTCAAAAGACCATACCTTGTGAGTGGAATGACCTCTGACACGAAGAATATAAAAAACCAACAAGAAAATAAACTAAATTCATGACAAAGGCATGTAATATCTGGTTAGTGTTTTACTAAATATATACCTGTGAAGAGAAGTTTTCATTTCTTTGCTATAATAAGAAGTTATTGTTTGAATGACACAGATCAGAAATGTGTCTGGTCATGCAACACTTTCAGAAACATAAGCAGTAGAATTACCAAATAGTGCGGTTGTGTGAGTATGGAGTTCATGGTTGTTGGGAGCCCCCCCCCCCCCCCCCCCCCCTTTTTTTCTCTCTTCTTGCTGTTCAGTTGGTTTCAGTCAGAGGAAATCAAGGGAGACAGGGGAGCTGGTTTTGCTTTTAAGTACTTCAACCATGAGGTATCACTAATCTGGTGTCTGGAGTGAGGGAGCAATTACAATTACGAATATAGTATAGCAGAGCGCATTATATATTAAAATAGTCATCATAGTGCATTTAAATAAATAATTGCAACAATAATAGAAGTTCACTAGAGCATTTTAAACAACTGTAAGCTACCATTATGTAGAACAATGTGTGAGGGAAAAAAATCACCTACATGATTTAACACTTAACATGAAAGCTACATAGTGAAACCAGTAGAATTGAAACCAGAAGTATTGCTAAGAGGGAGGGAAAATCAATCTGTGATGATTTTCTCAATCCACAAAATGCTGATAACAATCTGCTGACATAGATGAGTATATACAGGTATTTTCCATCAACTCTTAACTCTGATTCTCCAATATGTCAAAAGACTCAGAGAGCTAATTTACACAATATGCTATGACCATCACTGTACAACATTAAGGAGTAAGTCTTAAACTGTGAGCCTCCCATCTATGCCAGGTTGGCGTTATGCATCATAGGCCTTGATCTGCTAAATTTTTTACAGCTCGACCAACCAGATGTGGCATGCAAACCCTCTACTGGTCCTGGACTCCTGATCAACGCAACTTCAGACAAAAAGGAGATTGCCAAGCAACAAGGGCAATGACCAGAAAAAACTAACCTTATCAGTAGCATAGTTTAACATTAAGCCAACAGGGGCAAACATCCATGGTTTTCTTAGACTCTGGGGAGAGTCTAGATGAGGAAGAAATAAGGCAAGTTGTCCAATGTGCAAATGGTATGCCCAGAATCAAATTAAAGAACAATCCATAGGATCACGAAAGCATATGACGAAGCATAGTAGAACATTAAATTAGTCAAACACTCAGAGGCATTTACCTTAAAGACGGCAGGCTGCATATCTTCAACCTTTATGCATTGCATGTTATGGTCCTTCATCGGACCAAATAGTTGTGCTCTGAACACAGGTGACCGAGCTGCAAGGACCAAGCTATGAGCTGCAAAGATCTCATCATCAACTTCGAATGAAACATCAGTTCCTTCTCCACTTTCTAGAAGTTGGCCAAAATGCTGAGTAATGTTAGAGGAAGGCACTGGTATCGTATACGACTTGGGTCCCTCGGTATGTGATCTAACAACGCCAACACTACAATTAATTGACAGACAGTCATCTTTAAGATAATCAGAAGCCTCCAAGGCAGTTCGTTTGAAGAATCGCTTATAACCCCTGCATAATTAAAGAAGGAATGAAATCGTCTCAGTGGTAGATATATAACTAAAACGTATAGCCAAAATCTTCAATATAATACACTCATATATAGGACAAGGTATATTAATAACTACAATTAACCTTACTAAATTACCTAAAGTTGGCCATGGACTTGGTAAGTTGCACATAAAATTTGCAAAGATGAAGTGAGAAATAGAATGGTGGCTGCTAGAGACAGAGGAAACTGCTGGAATATATTTATAGTTTTGAATCTTAATGTAAGAAAACAGCCTCCTCCATTTAGCCACAAAGGTAAAGCATGAGGCACCATAAATGCAGAAACCTTTGTTTTCATGTAACAATGTTGTTACATGCATAAAAATCATCGGGTCCGCTCAAAACTATAAATGATGTCCTGTTACAGATTCTAATTGATAGCGGTCCATCACGTAACTATATAGACCAAAGTTTCACGGATACAGGTACAGGTAAAGTAGGATGTGGGGACATGGCTACACATATACATACATGTATATCATAATGATATACACGAGATCCGTATTGTTTTTTCATTCCATGTGCTATGAAATAAAATTCCCATAACATTAATATGTTTCTCTTATTATATAGATCTATAAATTAGAAAATTGTGTGTTTTCTAACTTGATATCCAGAGGAACCTTTATATTCATATTTCTGAACTGGGTAAGGGTAAAACAAACCCGATATGTGTCCAACGAGTTTCAAGAATTGCATGTGAAGTATAGTATATGCATCCAAGAAGCATATGACTAGGTTTCAAATTAAAACATGTACTATATAATTGAGTACGCATTTGAATAAGTGTATGCAAACAACCAAGGTGTCCATTGAAGTTTTGGTGTTCATTACAGGTATGACACGGGTACGACACATGTATGGCTCCAAATATAGGTTACCCATGCAACATACATATAGACCCATTCGTGATCCAACAAGCCCACTTGTCCCTATCAAATGATACACCACTTACTGCATGGGTAGCTGAGGCCTGAGGGTGATGTCCCACAAGCCCTGTTTTAACTTCTAAATATTCCACACATGACCGACATATTAGATTGATATATCTTTTTTAAGACTTACTACAAAACAATGTGATCTGAACATCTTTTACCGCTTTTGGCAATTTTTGGGTGAGATATCATGATTTTCCTGATATATAATGTAACCTTTCAGCCTCAAAAAATCAGCTCAAATGTTGTAATATTAATTTCAACTTTTCATTCCTTCTAAAGAATGGTTTAGATTTTTGGTTCAACTGAGGTCTACATCCGAATAAATATCCACTTATCTAAATAAATAGAAACAAGAATTAGGGCTTAACTGAGATCAAATTCTTTTGAAAAAGTTTTGCAAAATATACCACCTTTCTCCACAACTCAATGCTTTGGTACATCAAATATGAATATATATGATATCTATGTGCACATTATCTGACATGAGCCCCAATATCTAATAAGTATCTCTGTTATAGCTGATATCCGTCATCTAGTATGGAATATTTCTGCTTGACAAGTCCCCTACATCCAACATTTAGAACACCGCCCACAAGGTGCCTGCTCCTGCTCAAGAGTTCATCTCTGCCAGGATGTCCCTATGATTTTTTCGGAAGGACATGAGCGAAAAGGCTGCAATCTGGAAGCCCTATTGCGATCTGCTATGGTGTTCCCCATCTTTCGACCTCGACGGAAGTCGATTTCAAAGGATGAAGTGGTGATACAAGCGAAGGTCTCTCCACCTGATTTCCTATAAAATGATGCATAAATTGGTTACTCTAAAAGAAGGTCTGCTAGGGTGAGTTGTTGGGAAACTTTGTCGCAAGCAGTCTGTTATCCGTTAAGAATCCAGCTAATCACCCTACACAAGTATCAGAATATGGCACGTGGATACGGTTTCTAGATTATCAGTTGGAGGGTATTTAAGGAAGTCGAGCCCCAGGGTTTGCTCTCACCATGGAAAAGCAGTGTTGCTTCTCTCTATTTTCTTCTGTTGATTTTATTTACCCTTCAGTATTCATCTGCATTTTATGATTGGTTCATCCCTCTTTTGGATTTGTTTCCTCTACCTAGTCCGTGGTAAGTTACCTTCTTTTAGAAAGCTTTCTGATCGGTAGTTTTCTTTGTTAAGGTGATGAAGTATTATACACATAGTTGCTTTTTCCTTATGTAAAAGCTGTAGAATTGTCTTTCCTTCGTAGTATCTAGTGAGTTACCTAGTCCATGGTAAGTTACCTTCTTTTAGAAAGCTTTCTGATCGGTAGTTTTCTTTGTTAAGGTGATGAAGTATTATACACATAGTTGCTTTCCTTATGTAAAATCTGTAGAATTGTCTTTCCTTCGTAGTATCTAGTGATTCTAATGCTGATTCTTGCGCATAATGGGCACGGATTAAGCTTGATGAATGCAAGTGTTTCTTCTGTGTGTTTTGCTTTAGCCCCATCAGCTGTTTAGCCTTGTAATCTGTAGAGTTACCTCACAAGGTTTGCTAATCTTGTTGTCTTAGGATTATTTATAAGCAACCATGTCGGGAAAACAGGCAATGGGTTATACTGTTCATGCAAACCCAGCAGGCATCAAACTTATATAAACAAAGTATCTAGTGAGTTACCTAGTCCATGGTTAGTTAACTTCTTTTAGAAAGCTTTCTGATCGGTAGTTTTCTTTGTTAAGGTGATGAAGTATTATACACATAGTTGCTTTCCTTATGTAAAATCTGTAGAATTGTCTTTCCTTCGTAGTATCTAGTATTCTAATGCTGATTCTTGCGCGTAATGGGCACGGATTAAGCTTGATGAATGCAAGTGTTTCTTCTGTGTGTTTTTCTTTAGCCCCATCAGCTGTTTAGCCTTGTAATCTGTAGAGTTACCTCACAAGGTTTGCTAATCTTGTTGTCTTAGGATTATTTATAATACAGGCAATGGGTTATACTGTTCATGCAAACCCAGCAGGCATCAAACTTATATAAACAAAGTATCTAGTGAGTTACCTAGTCCATGGTAAGTTAACTTCTTTTAGAAAGCTTTCTGATCGGTAGTTTTCTTTGTTAAGGTGATGAAGTATTATACACATAGTTGCTTTCCTTATGTAAAATCTGTAGAATTGTCTTTCCTTCGTAGTATCTAGTATTCTAATGCTGATTCTTGCGCGTAATGGGCACGGATTAAGCTTGATGAATGCAAGTGTTTCTTCTGTGTGTTTTGCTTTAGCCCCATCAGCTGTTTAGCCTTGTAATCTGTAGAGTTACCTCACAAGGTTTGCTAATCTTGTTGTCTTAGGATTATTTATAAGCAACCATGTCGGGAAAACAGGCAATGGGTTATACTGTTCATGCAAACCCAGCAGGCATCAAACTTATATAAACGAAAAGACACCGCCTTTTTCACTAAAACAAAAAAAAAAAGACCAAATACAAGTATTTAAGATCCTATGAAACTAAATATCAGAACATGTAGATGACAAAGATCCACTATTTACATCAAAATATGCTGTACCAAAACATTAGTCAACCAAAACTCACCACATACTCCCCCGATACTTCAGCGTATACGGCCCGTCCTCCAGCGTCCTCCCAAAATGACTATGAACCTTATGCCTCTCCTTCCCGCTCTGATCCAACAGCGTCAGCTCAAACAAAGCCCTAACATCCGTCCCCTCGCTCGCCAACGCTATAAAAAGCGACACGTAACTCGCATTATCCTCAGGACTCTTTCCATCAGGATAAAAATAGATCGCCCACTCGAACCCCCCGACGTTAAAAGTATCAGAAGCTACGTACTTCCCAATCCCTAGACCTTTTGACAAAGAGTAGCCGGTGATCTTGAACTGGTGAGATCCGTTGATGGTTTCTGTGATCGAGGTCGACGCGGTCTCTGATGGAGGTTGAGGGTTTGATGGGGATTGAGAGATGATGGAGGTCGAGGGTTTAGATGAGGGGCAGCCGCGGGAAATTCGACCCATTTGGGGTGGTGGAATTAGGGTTTGGGGTAAGGGAATTTGGGGAGTTGGAGGTCTAGGGTTTGGGATTCTTTCTTCCTTCTCTGAGAAATCGGGACTGGGATCTCACAGGCAGATGACGGAGGGGTTAGGGTTTGAGATCGAAGAGGAGATATTAGAGAATTTTGGGGATTTTTTTGAGGAGGGAGAGGAGAAATTTGCCGGAGGAGGAGGAGGAGGAGGAAATTGGGGGGAGAACAAGAGAAAGGGGATGAGGAGTCGTTTTGGGCTTGGTTTATAAGCATGTGGAATGACGTGTCCAAGTTGCGCTTAAAAAGCCCCTCCTGGCCCACACTGGCTTTTCCTCTCTGCTACCGAGGCAAATCCATTGCGATTCAAATAAGGATCTATAAATTTTCACGTGCGCTTCTTCCGGCGAATCGTCCGTTTTGTCCTTTCAACGGTCGTTATTTTGATGCGAAAAGATGCAAGGTTTCATTCATTGCACAAAATTGCCCCAGTTCCGCCCTAGAAATTTTGTTACGTAAACGTGAGAATTTCATCTGAAATTTTCCAAGGCACCGCTCGTATAAATACGTGTATACGTATACAAAGAGAAATGAATAACTTTGATATCATGATAAAATTGATCTATTGAAATAACAATGTATCATCGACATAGTTTAAGTTGCCAACTTAGAAAATAATCCCTACTTGCTTACTCACTCAATAATAAATGAGTTAAATGAGAAGTGTTATGGTGTTTTCAGTCGTAAAAGTATAGCCCTTTTGCCAACAACGGACAGGTGCCCCCCTACATGCACCGCTCAAATCAGATCGACGGTCAGGACCACCAAGAATCCCGACTTAGCCGACTCGCCGAGTCGACATCTCCTTGTGTCTACTCGAAGTGCGGTACTTGTCGGTCCTCTCATTGAAGACGACTCGCTACGAGTCCACTCGAGCAGTTATTCGACGTTTCACGGGGTCGACTCGAAAGGCGTTACTTCTCGGCCAAGCCAGAGGATGGCTTCAACCTCCAGCCTCCTTCACTGACAACGCATCGACGTCACATTTAATACTTGGCAGGCGTCATCATGACTCTAGTCATGATAGTCTTTATAACTCATCGAGCCAAGTCGGCACCGCTATGCCCCTAATCACTTCACATTAAATGCTGAGGTGATCTCTCCTCCACTCGTCAGCCGACACCTATAAAGTAGGTGTTGACGCAGCTGTCAGGTCATACTCGTTTGCCGCCATCCTGTACTCAGTCGAGATTATCATTCTACCCCTTTTCCACCACTATAAATAGAGGTACTATTCTCAACATTTAAGGGGGGATTTTTCCAGGCTATTTTTCCAGGCTATTTTTCCAGGCAATATCCGAGAATTATAATGCACTACACTGAAGAACTCACACAGTTCTTCATTTCTCCACTCAACTCAAAACCAGATATTCGGAGAAGTGAGTGGTCCCCTAATCAACCTTACCCCCATATTATTATATGTTTGATATTTAACATCAACAGTTTGGCGCCCACCGTGGGGCCTTCTTTTTTTCGAGCAAGTATGTATTGTTTGTGTATAGGGCTGACAAGTCTCACCCTGAAGGACCACACTAGAGCTACGTTACTCAAGCTCAACTTGAAGAAACTGCTCAACAAATCTCTCAATCTCTCCAACAGCAACTCGCAACCTTCACCAGCGAGCTCCTCAGCCGGCTTCCATAGCCGCAACCCCCCCGCCTTCTGAAGACCAGCGATCGGAGATTCGCCCTCCTTCTAGAGCACATCAAGTAGTCTCACCTCGGACTCCTCATGTTGTTGCCTAACAATTGAGGAATCGGGTCGAGTACGTGACATCGCCACCTTATCAGTCGACTCGCCCCGAAAAATCTCGCTGACGTCTCCTCCCTCATCCTGAAATCACCGACAAGAGTCCTGGCCCTGGTCACCATGAGGACCGTACTAGGGGAGCAATCTCTAAGACTCTCTCCCACCATCGTACCTCTCCAGTCCCCCTCTGATATTGTGGGGACCTCTGGATACAATCGGGCGTACCGATCGATCGCAGAAGTGATCGTGGGGAACACCCCCTTTCCAATGATCTCATGAACGCCCCATGTGAGAAGTTTAAGATGCCTCACATGGAGAAGTATAAGGGCGAGGGAGACCCCTCCGAGTATGTCCAAAACTACTATGATATGATGAGCATGCTCCAAACATCGGAAGCAGTTATCTGTCGATACTTTCCCATCACTCTTTCGAGGAGCGCCGAACTCTAGCGGAATGCCCTTGAGAAGAAGTCCATCAGCAGCTTCCAGCAACTCAGCAAGAAGGTTATCCACCACTTCCTGGCTGACACCAAACAGAAGTTGTCCCCTCATGTGTTAATCCGGATGAGGCAAGAGCCTGGAGAGAGCCTTCTGTAGGGTCGAAAAAAAAGAATATATGATTGATTCTTATTTTAAGAATGAGTTCTATCACTTAGTAAGAATCACTTACACTCACTCACTCTCTCTCTCTCTCTCTCTCTCTCTCTCTCTCTCTCTCTCTC